TTGTGGTAGTAGTCGTTGTAGTTGTTGTGGTAGTAGTCGTTGTAGTTATCGTTGTAGTTGTCGTTGTAGTTATTGTTGTTGTTGTTGTAGTCTTTGTTGTTGTTGTGGTTGTAGTTGATGTAGTTACTGTGCTAGTTGTTACTGTACTCGTTGTTGCACTTGTCGTTGAATAAATGTCAGTATTTCCTGTATTGAACAATAAATAAATAACAGAAATATTTACAATAATTTATTACAATGCGCTTTACTGAAGTCAGACATGCTAGCATCGATGTGAATTTTGTTACTATGTTTATGAGTAAGTATAAAGCTTTAGATGTGGATAGGATTGTATGTTTCATATTTGCACAATATGTCTAAGGGAAGAAAAGGCAACTCTATTACTTCACATAACGAATGAAGAACAAATAACTCATCATGAACTACCAGTATTATCATTTAAGTATCATAAATATTGACTTTTTATTCATATATTCAAGTAAAAAATTCGTATTCGTTCCACTAAGCCATATCTACATCCAGATACTCAAATAAAGCTTTATTTATATGACTGTTCAGTGAAACTAAATTAACGGTAGGTATGGTATTCATTTCACTATGATGAAAAATATTCTTTTTTTTGAAATCAGAAAGTGAATATAGTTAATTTGTATTATATATATGTGAATTTTTTAGATTTTAAAAGATGGAATTTCTCAACCATAGAAATATTCTTATTCTCAGTTTGAAAATGGTCATATCATAATTCAATATAAAAGTCATTATCTGAAGACGTTATACCTGATGAAATTAAAATCAACAACATATACATGGATTTTTGATATACAATGTTAGAACTGTAGCTAATACTACGCCACCAAGTAATACACCCAAGAGAAAGCCAAGTAATTCAAGTGTTGAACAACAACAACAACAACAACAATATCTGGAAGGATGTGCTTCTATCCGTAAAATTATTTAAACAAAAGAAATAAGAAAGCTAACTTTAGAATGCATGCCCAGCATCGTTTGAACTGATTCTGCCGTGATTCGTCTTCATTTTCTTTTTTCAATTGCCCTGCATCACATTCCATCCAGATACTACGCTGTTCATGGGGCATCACTGAAATTTGGTTTACTCCTAATAAAAAAAAGTTCGAAATGAAACTGTAATTTTTAGTTCGCTGCAAGTAGAACACAGTCGATGAAAATAAATTCTTGAATATTAATCAGCATTTTTAATGGGATGCTCGATCGATTGTACGAACTCCTATAAAGTTTTTATATAAACATTGATTATTAAACAGATACTCTACCTATTCATTTTATGAATACATGGTGTGATGGTGTAAAAAAAGTCCTCGAAAACATACCACCCAATTAGCACTTTATCCGTCTTCTGGAAGAAAAGTTTCTCACGCTAGAAGAAAGAAAAAGCTGATTGTGATCAACTTCTTGCTAGCTAAAACTTGATTAAACATGACTATTTTTTCCAATTTGAAGTAAAAAATTCAAAGTTTTCGTCTTTTCTTCAAAGTGCTTAACCTTGCTAAGTGTCGAGATAGAATAGCAGTTAATACTAATTCCTATGAAAAAAAAATTTCGATAAATTCGATTGGAATTAATTATTTTATGAACAGGTGCCCATTAAAATATGACTAATTGGATATAGAAACAAATGGAATTTGGTTTTAATGGTCATTTAGTAAAAACCACATTTAATCTAAAAGCTTTATTAATAGAAATAAAAATTCTTTGAATTTTTTCAAGTCAACAGAAATTTATTGAGTTATACTCATAAACATTAATATAGACAGTTTTTTCCTTTTTTTGAATATATTTTTGATTTATTTATAATATTTATTATTGTTTTTTATTATTGATAATTGACAAAAAAAAAAGAAAGAAAGAAAGACAGAAAGAAAAACAAAACGCTATTGATAGAGAAAAAAAGACAAAAATTGAACAAGGAATAGAAATAGGAATAGGACAATAAATTATTTGCAACGGGTGTGGGTGAGGCGTGTGGGTCGGTATGGGTGTGAGTGTGGCTGTCGCTGTGGCTGTGGGTGTGGCTGTGGCTGTGGGTGTGGGTGTGGCTGTGGCTGTGGCTGTGGCTGTGGCTGTGGCTGTGGCTGTGGCTGTAGTTCTTCTCTACATCCACATCCATAACCACACCCATACGCACACCCACACCCACGCCCACGCCCACACACACACGCACACCCATACCCACACCCACATCCACACCCATATCCACACCCACACCCACACCCACACACCCACACCCACACGCAACCCTTCTCGGAAACCACCAAAAAGTTTCAGGTAGTAACAAACTCGGAAACCGGAAAAGTTCCCAATGTTCGGAAACGTTTGAAAGGGTTCCCAAGCACTTCGAAAACTTTTTTTATATCCTAAAAAAACTTTCTTTGGGTTTCTAGGATCAATTCAGAAACCTAATTGAGTTTTCACGTGCTCCAAGACTTATTTTGGCCTGTATTCCAGAAACGAAATCGAAATAGCGTGTGTTTTTTCAGGTGTCGCGGTACGATTTATCTAAACTTTTGAGCCGTGATACGCGGTACGCGATAGTCCTAGAAGATTTTCACGAGGTGCTGAACGGCGTGCAGCAGGTCTCAGGCTGATGCGAGCGTTGTGCGGTCTTGTGTCAAAAATCCAACGCTACGCAGTAAGGTATGCAGTCGTATGACGACTTGTTATAACTCTCTTTCTTGGAGATATCTGATGTCCACTTGTTCTTTATTTCTTCACATCATATGTACAAAAATAACAACGAGAGCGACATCTTCGTAATTTTGTGTGAGAAGTCCTGTTCAGCATAGATAAAGTATGATCGGATTTTTTGCGCTGTGCTGCGAGTAATGTGGATGTTTCTTTAAATTCTCAAGCTGCGCTGTATTGTGAAAGGTTGATCTCGCGCTGTGCGACACGGTAAGTGTCCCTATCAAAAAAAAGACTTGCACTACACTCTAGTGAACGGCCGTTCACTTCGATCCTTGTTCCATAATATTTTTTTTAGAGCGCAGTTTCGATAGTTTTTCTCATCAGCACATTCTAACACTTTCATTATGTTTTAACGTGTTCTAAACTAGGCGAAGTTGTTTATATTTCATTTTCCGTATTCAGTGTAATGATTTTATAAGTCATCTCGATTGATTGACTTCTATTCAACATGATTGACAAAGAAATGTAATGAATATACATAGCAGAGCCAGTTTCCAAACTACTCTTAAATCATTAAAACAGACTGAGTTTACAAATATCGGTCTGAACAACATTATCTTTTGATATTTGTCTGCTACTAGTGGTTTTTAGTGTTTGTTAAGTAAAAATAGAATCTAGTTAGAGCTATATCATTCGAATTAAGAAGTTTATTCATAACCATTTTCATACAAATGAAAGAAATATGTGGGATAATGTACTGACTTACAAATGACTGTTATATTTTCGATTGATTGTATATTACAGAAAATTATTCTCGATTTTCTTGCAATTAACAATATTAAATCAAAATTTTGTGGAACTCACGTATGTTTTCGAAGAAAATAGTGAGTGTAAGTTTTCAGTTCGAGGTTGGCGGCTCCCCCTCCCCCCATCCCATTACAGACACAGCAACGAGAAAGAGAACATTACAGACATAAACCCCATTACAGACAGCCCTCCATTACGGACCTGAGCAACCACGCATAGAAGGCTTTCGGTTATATATAATATATCAATGCTTTCATAAATACTCGAGAAAAGGTATTTTGCAGTTTAAGCATCAGACATCAGGATAACAAGTTTCAAAGATACACGTGAGTTCCACATTTCAGCTCCTCTGGAGCTGCGCTAACAAGCTTTTTTTCATTTGAACAAAAATTAAACATTTGATTACAAAGAAACGATGGCTAATTTAATGCTTACAAAAAAAAATATGAGTTTATCAATAGTTAGATGAAAGCTCTCATCGTTTTTCAAGTTTGATAAAAACCTGTGCAGGTGCAATGACGATTTCTTCACATATATTCAATTTATATTTTTCTTGTGATGATGGTAAAATACGGTATGTACTCATTAGTCGAGCTAAACATGATTTCATTTCCACTAAAATAACCAAGACAAGATATTAATAAATAGATATCACAAATGACATAAGACTCACTAAGTGCAAATCGCATGCCAATACATATACGTGGTCCTCCACCAAATGGCATATAAGCTAGTGGATGTCGTTTGCAAGAATGACGTTCTGGATGAAATTCATCAACAGGTTCAGGACCCCAAAGTTCTTGATTATAATGAACTGAAAGTACATCTACTTGAATTGATGAACCTAATCAAAACAAATAATGTATTCTTTTTGTATTCTTCAATATGAAGTAAAACCTTTCTGAATGTGATATCCAGCAACATCAGTATCTTCCATACATTCGCGATTTATAGCTTGAACAGCAATAGGATGCATACGTAAAACTTCTCGAACAAACATATCCATATAAGTCAATTTTGACATAACTACATCATAAGAATTAGAATCAGAAGAGCAATGTTCGAGAAGTTCTTCATATAATTTTTGTTGAATATCCGGATGTATAGCAAGACGATATGTGCAATAAGCAAGTGCTGTTGATGTTGTTTCAAAACCAGCGATAAGAATAATAAATACATTACTTAACAATTCAGTTGGCAACAGTTGTTCCTATTAAAATATAATTCAAAACTTTCAGATACAATTTATGAAGTACAATGGTGTAAACCTTATCTGAATTTACAGCATCAATCATCAATTGAACAAAATCCTCTACAGATTTCTTTTTCTTTAGATCAATATGTCTTTGTTGGATAAATTCGTACATATGCCTCCTCAACCAAATACCAGCTGGAAGAGATGAATTTTTACTTTTGAAAAATTGTTGCAAACGATATATAAACACCCATACATTCGCTAATAGTGTATTAGATGTAGCACGATGTATTCTACCTAGACGTGTACGTTCAAAATCATGTCGAAACAATTCTTCTACCTTTTTCATATAAATATTATTATTATCAAGATCATATTGCACTTCTGTATCAATACTAAATGCACATTGACCTGTTCAACAAATTCATTCAATCAATTGAAACTATATAATCAGATCAAAACCTTACAAATAGTATCCATTGTCAATCGTTTATATAGTTCATAAATATTAATGATTGTTCCATTCGGTATTAATGCTAATCTTTTCATAAATACATTAACACATGCTTCAACTGTTGGTAATAATCGTCTCATTTTTGCCCCACTAAATGTTGGATTAAGTATCTTACGTTGTTTTTTCCATAGTTGAGCTATATTAGCTGAAAAAACATTAAAATGCTCTTTACCTACTATACGATTTGCTAATGTAGTTCGTCGAGCATAAAAACGAGCAAATTGTGTAATAAATATTTCTTCCATGACCTTGATATCAGATATGACATAGTGAGGACGAGTACCTTCAAAAAGACCATAGACAGAACCATATTGACGAGTCCATTGACGAAGTTGTTCTGAATAGGATTTAGCTGACCAAAGATCATATAAATGACCAAATATTATCGAATGTATTGGTGGAGAAGGGATTGAACGATTAGAAAAATAACAACAGTGATTATAAAGTAAATAGACAACAAGAAATAGAATAATACAAATAAAAAGAATAGATATTATACTCATTTTTCAACGAATGACCTTGTTCTTGTATTCATTCTCTATTTATATACATGTGTTTGCCTAGATGTAACGTTCGAAAAGTATGTTTGGGTTATCATCATGATAAGATAAAAAAAAAACTGGTTGACATTATACGAAACAGAAGAAACGAAGAATTGCAATTCATTATGGATATAATATTTTATCTTTTCTTTTACTTTACCATTGATATGAATTATGTAAAAATAAATTACTGATGAAAGCTGTAAGAATTTGTTGTTCAATTTATCTACTAAAGACGGTACGTGTTCTTTTTATGCATGTAATCGTCATTTTCCCCTCTGTTCTCAAGCAGTTTCATACTGAATTGGTTAATTCTGATTATAAAGATTCGCAAATGAACAGATTCTCACCTGTATAATTATTGAATATCCTGAGAAGTTCGCATATTGTGTGCTCAACTTCTGACTTTTGATCCTTATGTTTTTATGTTTTATATTCGATTTACCGGACGAAAGCAGTTGTCATAAAATTCAATAAAATAAGCTGTATAACATCACTTTCATCCTTTTTTGCTTTGTCTCCCTTGTAAAGCAAATATAAATATAAATAATATTCAATTAGAGAAAAACCTCAGAGGCACATAAATAGATAAATATGTGCATTTTATTCTGTTTTTTTTTTGATAAGAGCTCTTATAGTTGATCCTTGGTTGTGCAAGAAAATTCATGCTTGCAAAATATTTTTGTTGTCATTATCTATATCATTCAATTTTATCAAATGTAAAAAATCCTAATTTAACATTGCAATCAGTGAAGAGAAAAGAAATCTCTTCTAATCTTGAACAGAACGAAAAAAACAATAGACAATTCTCGCAAAGGGAATGAACATATTTAATGAAGAAGGACATTGATAACTAAAAAATACAATATACATTTTGAAGGAGGACAATAGTAATAACGAGGGAAGGTATCCAAGTGTGACACGCCATTTCGAAGTGAATGTATACCAGTTTATAGAGCTCGATGAGCTAATTCTAATGATATAAAGCATTCTTCCCCATGGAATTTTAATTTAGACAGAATTAATCAATTCTACTTGTGAGAGAGAGCACATTCGAGACACTGAACTTTTACAGGTATTAGCGTGCGAAAGATCAAATTTAGTCATTGACAATCTCACTTTTGACTGTAGATTTTCACCTAATAGACTAAAAACTACGTAACCATGTCTTACTCTGCATATTTCAATGTTGTTGTCATTGCTTTAGGTAGTTTTTAGTTTATTAAGTGAAAATCTACAGTCAAAAGTGAGATTGTCAATGACTAAATTTGATCTTTCGCACGCTAATACCTGTAAAAGTTCAGTGTCTCGAATGTGCTCTCTCTCACAAATAGAATTGATTGATTCTGTCTAATTTAAAATCCCATGAGGGAGAATGCTTTATACCGTTAGAATTAGCTCATCGAGTTCTACAAACTGTTATACATTCACTTCGAAATGGCGTGTCACACTTGGATACCTTCCCTCGCAAGACTAAGACTCCATTGTAATAAAGACACTAAAAGCACAAGTAAGAAAAAATTAAAGACTCATTTCGTATTTGAAAGTCGCTCTATCGAGTTCACTAAATTGGTGAGAGTTGCATTTTAATAAGAAAGTTTTTATTATTACTTATACTTACACCGAATAACAGCTGTTAAAAAATGACAAACAAGATAGATAAGTTCGAGTGAAAGATTTTCGACAATCAATATAAGATTATAGCACTAGAAAACTTCGATTTGATTAAACTCATAAATTACTACTAAATAGTCATTCTTTTGTAATCAATTTAATAGAAGGAAAGATTTTTTTGATCTTATTATAGTAAAAATTGTTGATACTTTTAATAAATAAGCAGCCATGACCGATTTCGACCTTGCTTAAGGATCTCATCAGATGGCATTATTCAAATCCATCATCATTATAAGATGACGATGAAACTGCAAACCAACCCCTATAAAATAGAGGAGATACAGTGTTAAATCACACAGGGATTGCGCTACCAGCTTTTCTACTCAGAGTGCAATTATGCCATCAACATGTTTGCATATCTGCGATGACTACCTAAAAATAAACAAGACACTTTGAGCTCCAGTTCTTGTGTGTGTGTGAAAATGTTCGGCTTCCAGAGATGTTCTTTCACAATTGACACTGAGTGGACATGTGAGCCCGACTCATCATTATTTATCGAACAAAACGAGCTACAACATGTTAATTACATTGGTGGCAATCGGACATGACACACCGTGCTCAAGAGCACTCTCATGATGATGAGTGATAGCAGAGCAGCTTTTTCAGTGTGACACATTCGAAAGCCTGAAGAGTTTTAGACTAGAAACTCTAAAACACTACGAAGAAATCTGAAGTTTCAATATCTTTATTTACTGTCGATATCTACTACGTTGTGACCAATGCTTTGCTGGTTAGTACGTGGATACACCGAGAAACTGCTCGATGCTTACTGAGAATATAAGTTGTTCTACTAGCCTTGTTATACTTCAATAAGAGGTTGTTGACAGCTTGCATTCTGATTGTGCAATATGACACACATACACCTATACATGATGGTTTTTACCCATTCTTACACGCACATGTTTCTGAAGTGTATTTGCTTGCAATTGTATATTTTAAACGCAATAATAATGATAAAGAAATAACATTCGTTCCATTTATTATGAATCATCAATAACTGAGAAAAAATCGGTGGTTTCTCCCATTCACTGATGAAATGATACTTTTTCCAGTATAGAGTCTATTGTATGTGGATGTAATATGTTAATGGGTGAAAAGAAAAACTGCTTAATAGACTGAATGGAAGTCAAAAGTGTTATTTAATTGATCAACAATAAGATCTCACATATGTTCGTCACTCAAACATTAGTAAAGAATACGACTGGTATTTTCCTATTTCACAACGTTATTCTAAGTGAAAAAAACGAATATTTATCGCTATCTATTCCATACTGTATGTTCACCATTAGGGTTCTTTTAATTCGACTGTGCAGAGATATGAACTACTGGCATCCCATATGTTATTTATATGAAGAAGGCAGTCTTCGCTATAATGCGCTTATTGTGTTAATTGTCAAACTCATTGTCACATGCCTAACGATTTTACTGGCTTTAACAAGGCCTTAATGTGACAGTGTACTAGTAGTATGACTAATATGAATAAGCAGCCACCTGATCAGACCTTTAAGCAAGGTCGAAACCGATCATGGGCGCTTATTCATATTGTAGTCATACATTTTAACACTGTATCTCCTCTATTTTATAGGGACTGATTGCAGTTTCGTCGTTATTTTATGATGATGAATTTGAATAATACCATCTGATGAGTTCCTTAAGCAAGAACGAAACCGGTCATGGTTGCTTATTCTTCAAGCATTTAGTGCTTATGTCATTTTGACACTTAATACTCATTGTTATCCAAACGACGATCAACAACGCATTCTACACACAAGTACAGTCGTCGACTTTCGTGATGTATCAGATTCGATCGCCCCGGCTGGTCTCGTTGCCAACACTGTCTATATTATGATGTCGAACGATTTCGATGATCCATTGTCACTCTCGAATACTGCTCAAACAATTCGTCGTTCTATTATTCGATTACGGAATAATCCGAAATTTTTGGAGTCATGTCTGGCAACTGCCGATGGACTGATGAGACAAATGGTACAGGATAAATAATTGCCTAATATAGTCATCTTTTCGAACAATATTTTTGTCAATTCCAGTTATAAGCACGACTGGGCAAATCTTGTCGATTTTTGCTATAGAGACAAATGTCGTTATTATATGACATGGGCCGGTAGATTGTCTCTACGTGTATATCGTCTCAATCCAGTGTACGATGGCACACAATGGATAATAACAGATCGAGATGGAGCTGAAATGGCATTTGTTATTGAAAATGATATGAGGGAGAAATTTATTAAGATATAGTAACAAGATATCAATGAAAACTTTGATGATCTGAAAAATAGAACTATAATTCATTTCATAACAATAAACTACTATGCTCGTCTAGAGTAATGAAATTTGTTATTAAAAGCCATCATGCTTTAAGTCAAGAATATCTTTGCTTTCTAACCGTCGATTTTTTTGTAAAACTGAAAATTTATTGGTTTTCACTTTTGCAAGGATGTCTACTGCTCTGTTATTAAAGCACATAATGTAGTATCATCAGATGCATAGAGCTGTTAGTCAAAGCAAATTTCTATCGTTGTAATTAAGATTTCCGACCATAAAAGACTACTTTTTTCAATTCATAATAGCTTCTACAGAGATGTACTTATTGAAAAAAAAGTGGCTTTTGTTGCCATGAGCCTTGGTTGGGCTATGAAAAATATCAGAAAAACCATAAAGATCCATCTTACATGAAAGCTGGACGTAATTAACATGCGCTCTGATCGAAACAAACAAGTCGGTCGAGAATTAGTTCTGTAACAGGTCTAATCCTCAGTTTAGTATTATATATGAATCTTGTATGTCGTATAATGCTTGCTATGATTGTACTTTAACTTGTCAAGATATAATTCTCTTAATAAAAACGCACCACGGTGTGGTCTGTTTATACTTAATAATTGAGAAGAAAAT